TTATATGGGTATAAAGTATATACATAACCTATACATTTTGCACATGTTTTGCAAACTAGATGATCCAATGGTTCAGACTCATTAATTATTTATGTTAACTGACCAACTCATATTAATATGTTTATATTCAACTCAACTCGTTTATTTGACATTTCTAATTTACACAGGTCATGATGTCTGAATTATTCAATGTTGCAAGGGAAAAGATTGGTAGTGAAAACCTCAAATCTCTCATGGAGGAAAAAGTGTTTGCAATTTCAGGTGATATTTCATACGAAAATTTGGGAATTAAAAACTCCAAATTAAGAGAGGAAATGCACAAAGAAATAGATATAATAATAAACTCAGCTGCAGTGACCAATTTTTATGAGAGGTATATATACTAAGATGAATTTAAAATAATTTTTTTACAATTTCTCTCATTTTTTTCATCTAATTTTTCATTTATATTTTATTTGAATAGATACGATATTGCAATGAATGTCAACGTGGTTGGTGCCATGAATGTCCTTAAATTTGCCAAGAGTTGTATAAAATTAAAGATGCTTCTTCATGTGTCTACCGGTGAGTAATATAATTAATAGCTATCAATTTGCTTATTATTTATCTCCGGTTTAATAGAATAGTAGTTGGCCTAAAGTTGAATTTTGTAAAGTGACTTTAAATATAATTAATAGGATCTTTAATTTTTATATATATTAATTTAGATATATTATTTTATAAGTGATGTGATTATATTATATATTGTTGTTGCATAAAAACTTACTCTCTCTTTTTTATAGCTTATGTTTGTGGTAAAGCGATAGGAATTTTACCAGAAAAACCATTTGATATGGGTGAGACACTTAGTGAAAATACTTATTTGGATATTGATGTGGAACGAGGCGTGATAGCAAACAAATTAAAGGAACTTGAAACTCTAAATGCGACACCAAAGGAAGTTACAATAGCCATGAAAGAACTTGGCATGCAAAGGTCATTACAATATGCTATATATATATACTAGTTCTCGAACAAATTCTGATGTTTTTATTATTCTTATCATCAATTCACAACATTGATATAAAATTTTAATTGAAATAACTAGGGCAAGATTACATGGATGGCCAAACATATATAGCTTTACAAAAGCAATGGGAGAGATGATTTTGGGACATTTGAAGGAGAATTCACAGGTTGTTATCATACGTCCAACGATTATAACTAGTACCTACAAAGAGCCATTCCCCGGATGGATTGAAGGAGTGAGGTAACTGAATACTAGTAGATACAATCATATTGTTTGTTTTAGATTGTTGATTATATAATCAAGCAAATTATAACGTGTTTCTTCATCATTGTATATCCTTAGCTTGTCTCTTACATATATATTATAGTATTTTGTAATTATAACAGAACAGTGGATTCATTTATTGTTGCTTATGGAAAAGGTGTACTGAAATTCTACTATGGTAATCCTGACTCAAAACTTGATGTGGTAAGTAATTTTTATGTTTTCCTCTCCATTTTACGGTGTAGAATTTTTATAAGGCGTCATAACACTCTTTTTAAAAAACTTGCTAGTCTAGAAGTCTGTTAGTCCATCTCCTGGATCAACCTTCCATCACGATCATCAAATACATCTTCTAATTTTCCCCACTAGCTACCTGTCACGAAGATCCTCTCGACCATAGAAAATTAGTTGATAGAAAGAGCAAATAGAGTTTCATTAAAGCTTCGTGCGATACTTGACAACTTACTCACTAATCTTTCAAGATCGTGGCGGGACATGACATACCACACTGCAATAGTACATTGGCTTTGATTTTTTTTCTTCTTCTTATATTACATACAGATTCCAGGTGACGTGGTGGTGAATTCAATCGTTGCCGCGATTATAGCACATGAAAATCAATATTCTGAAGATGTAGTTATTTACCACATCAGTTCTTCTTCAAGAGATGACCCTCTAAAAAATTCAGATGTAATGTCTTCCACATTTCACTACTTCACGAAAAATCCATGGGCTAATAAAGATGGGAAAATTATCAAAGTGGAAACTCCATTGCGTCCATTTAGCAGCATCGATAGCTTCCACAAACACATTTCAACTCATTATTTGCCACTGTTAAAGGTTAGTAATATATTTTTTTTAAAAAAATTAGACTTTGCAATATATATACACACGATTTCAATAATAATACTAATTATCTCATGTGTTTAAATGCGAATTCAGATGTTAAAGTTTGTGAATATAGTGTCATGTCATTTCTTTGACAAAACGTATAAGAATATGGAAAGGAAGATGAATACGGCTATACGTTTATCTCAATTGTACGAACCCTACGTGTTTTTCTATGGAAGGTATGTACGTATGATTATTACACTATTAAGTAACATGTTCTCTCTTTTGACGTGCATTTTCTTCGATATTAATGCTAATTAAACACATATTTTACAGCTTCGATGATGTTAATACTGAAAAATTAAGATTGAGAATGAAGGAAATCAACATGGATGAAGTGCTCAATTTTGACCCTCGTTCTATCAAATGGGAAGATTACTTAATGAATATTCACATTCCTGGAGTTGTGAAGTACTTGTTCTAGGGATCTTATTTAAGCTTATGTTTTACATTAAATTTTAACTGAATAACTGTAAAAGTGAAAAGGAAGTCAATTGGCATGAGCCTCTGAGCCCCCAGTTGGATTGGACCAGAAATAAAGTTATTAATGGACAAATTTATGAACATTTCAGTTGGATCAATTAACACTTCACATTGCAGCCCAAGTCAACTTGGGCTGTAGGAAGAGATTTTGGAATATAAATTGCTACTTTTTTTTTTTTTGCTTTCCGGTATCTGCATTGAAGGAGGGAAACACTTCAATTTTTTCGGACTCGAATTCAAAATCTCTAATTAAGAAAAATTCACTCCACCATATTCTTTGGGAGTAAATACTTGCAACTAAAAATACATATTCCACAAAAAAACAGGCAAATGAAATTAATAAGAATTTTCATTCACAGAATTGAAGACAAGGTTTTATTAATCAATCTCATAATTAGTATTCTTGTCTTGAAAAAAAATCAAAAGCACTTATTTTTAGGAGAATCTATTTTACTTTTTTTAGCTTTTGCTTAAGAATCGAATTGAACAATTGTTTTTACTATATTTTATAAAGTATAACCAAACACCTTCATCAGCTCTAAAAAAAAAGTACTTTTTTTGAAAGTAAATACTTCTCATTATTGAGAAGTTTGGCCAAGCAATTATTATATATTCCACGTTTCTAATTTATTACTATTCTTTTATGTATTATAGGTTTGGTTAGCTAAGGGTTTGGCCAAAATATGTTTAGGCCATGCTAAGCTACTCTTTATCTAGAGTACTAGATGGTGAAATTAGCTATATGAATTTCTCTTCCTTATTTATTTCTTAGCTTTTGATTTTCACTACTTTTACTATCAATCTTTTTATGGATACCTACGTCACAAGTAATCTGACAGTACAACATTTTAAGGATATCAATCATAGGCTATTGTTTGTACACATGATTTATGATTTGCAGGCTACCTCATTTCAATTCGATTCATTTCAGTTCAACTAACTTTTTCACAAATCAATAACACATAATTTATTAATTTAGTTTATTTTAGTCCGTTCAAACTCAATCTAATCCGCTTTTTTAATACCTCTTATACCAAATAGTGCTTTGTGCGTTGTCAGTTTAATTTGGGTTCATACATACCATATTCAATCGAAGAAAAATCATTTTCTTCTGTTCAATTTGTCAGGTCCTCTCATTGAGGCTATTTGGTTGTTACTTGTTAGAATTATTTCTCTTCCGTATTTATTGAGAAGATCATGCTATTTAATAGCTATAACCGAATCAAAGTTTAAAGTCAAGAGAATTGAATTCAAAATAATTGTAATCTTATTATATATAGCAGATACATCTGAATATTTGTGTATCTATGGAGTATGGACCCAAAAAAAAAAATATGTCTATGATTTCTAATATGTAGAACCTAGGGAAGTAGATAGATATCAACGTAAACCTGCATTAAATGGATTAATTTTAGCATAAGATAAAGGCAGAGGTATATTTGTGTTCAATTTTTTTTCAAGACGTAATTGTAACCGGGAAAAATCCTTTTGATCAGAATGGTAAAATAACATATTTCACACTATTTTATGTTACCTTTTTGAACATTTTTACCCTTTTAACTTTAATACCTTTTAATTAAAAAATGGAAAAAAATTCAATTTATTTCAAAATAAAAAGGATATTATAAACTTTTTAAATTTCTGACCAAATTCTGAGGCTGTCCCAACAATCAGGGGTGTATTTCTTGGAAGACTCAATTCATTAGATAAGCCTAGTGCATAATCACTGATAGGATCATTCCTGAAATTAACAATAATTAATGGGCACACTTTGAAGCAAGTTGATCCTAGAAGACTAACTTCATAGCTCACTTAGATCAATCAGTTCAAGCATTGACAAACCCGGGGCTTTCACGAGTTCACGTGAATTTATGCTTCTCTTCCGAGATTATAGTAGTGTTATGAGATTAGAAACTAAAATCTTATATATTTTTCTTCTTCTCCTTTTTTCTTTTTAAAATTGGATAACACCTTTCTAAGTGATTCTTGCTAGCACTTTCGGTAATAGTGCATTGCATCCTCTCGAAATCCTTAATATCTCTTTGCTCTATAAACCTTTTGTACAAGAATCCCTCTTTTTGTTATATTTATAGCTTTCATTTTATGACGGAAAAAAAAAGGCTTCTACGTGTCTTGCATGAGTGAAAAACACGCGAACAATTAATTGTGTAAAAAATGTCAAAAGGATACAAATTAATTCAAGTGTCTAAGAGAAAATTGATACTAACTTCAAGAAGCTGACATGGTTCCGCCTATATAATAAGTACAAAAATCCATACATCAATTACAAGTTGCACTTTCATAGAACGAAATTGTAGTCATCTGAATTAGCCAAAAATAGTTAATCTCCCTAATGGAATCACGTACAATTGAGCAGTTCCAAGGCAAGACTATTTTGATTACCGGTGCTACCGGTTTCCTTTCAAAGCGTACTCTCTCTTCTCTCTTGTTATATCAAATCTGTTTAATTAAAGTACTAATTACTTAATTCCTCGGAATTAACTAAAGTTGCATTTGTTTTGATAATATTGACATATGCAGTTCTTGTGGAGAAGATACTTCGTATTCAACCAAATGTGAAGAAACTCTACCTTCTCATTAGAGCTTCTGACTACAACTCTGCCAGAAAACGCTTCACTAATGAGGTAATTAAGACGAGTTTCTTTTAAATTATATTTGATTGTTTAAATATATTTTACATCGCTAGTGAAAAGAAATTAAACTAACACGTACGTATAGGTCATGATATCTGAATTATTCAGTATTATAAGGGAAAAAATGGGTAGTGTGTACTTTTGCTCTCTCGTGGAGGAGAAAGTGTTTGCAATTTCAGGTGATATTTCACAAGAAGATATGGGAATTATAAATTCTCAATTGAGAAACGAGATGTACAATGAAATTGATATAATCATAAACTCAGCTTCAACCTTTGATGAAAGGTACAAATATAAAATTGTTAATATAGTTTTCAAGTTTTTTTTTAAAAATAATTAAAATAATTTTATTTTCTCTAATACTTCATTTAAATTTTGTTTAATATAGATATGATATTGCAATGAATGTCAATGTGGTGGGTGCCATGAATGTCCTCAAGTTTGCAAAGAATTGTACAAAAGTGAAAATGCTTCTTCATGTATCTACCGGTAAAGTTAATAGTACTGTTTAGTCAATTTGGTTATCAATTTTAGATTGGTTAAATTAAATATGTCAAAATGAATTGAGTTAATAAATAGGAGATTATTAACCTGTCCAAACTTAAACGAATTTTGCAGGTGGTCTTGTTTTGATGGGCTAATTTTGCTGCCCCAATTTATCAAATATATATACTAACATTATAATATTTTTTTTTGCATGATATCAATTTTATCGAATTAATAATTATCTTACATATTTTTTAAATTCTTCATTTTATATACAGCTTATGTTTGCAGCAAAACAACAGAAATTGTACGTGAAAAACCATTAGTTATGGGTGAAACATTTAACGAAAACTCTTATTTGGATATGGATGTGGAAAGAAGAGTGATATCAAACAAATTAAAGGAACTTGAAACTCAAAATAAAACACCAAAGGAAGTGACAACAACGATGAAAGAACTTGGCATTCAAAGGTTATTACTCCTAGATGATATATATATATATATATGAGATAAATTCAACAAAAGAAGTGCAACAAATTCTTAAGTTCATTATTCTCGTAAAATTGAAAATATTAGTATACAACTTACTCGAAATAATTGATACATAATTAGGGCAAAGTTACATGGATGGCTATACACATATAGCTTCACAAAAGCAATGGGAGAGATGATTTTGGGACACTTGAAGGAGAATTTACAGCTTGTTTTCATACGTCCAACAATTATAACTAGTACCTATAAAGAACCATTTCCAGGATGGATTGAAGGTGTAAGGTAACTAAATACTTATAGACACAACATTACTTTTCAATTTAGGTTGTTAAAAACATAATTAAACAAATTAAATCGTGTTATTGGTTTAATTTAATAAGATATATATATATCTTTTATACTATCTTTTATCTCTTCTTATATTGTTTTCTAATAACAGAACATTGGATGCATTTATTTTGGCTTATGGAAAAGGTGTTTTGAATTTCTTCTATGGTAATCCTAACTCAAAACTTGATACGGTAATTAAGTTATTTAATTTCCTACTTTTATAATTAATTTCAACTTGGTGATTATACCTCTATTTTAAGGCAATTTTTTACCTTTTAATTCCATCTATAAAATATAAAGGCCAAAGTAAATATATGAATAGCTCCTAAAGTTGATGCATTCTCTTTTTCTTTTAGACATTTCAACTGACAATTAAATATTTGACATATGCCTAAACGCTATACAGATTCCAGGTGATCTGGTGGTGAACGCAATTTTTGCAGCGATTTTAGCACATGAAAATAATCAATGTTCTCAACAAGTGCTTATTTATCACATCAGCTCTTCTTCAAGAGGCCCTCCAAGAAATTCAGATATAAAACATTTCATGTTTCACTACTTCACAAAGAATCCATGGATTAACAAAGATGGGAAAACTATCAAAGTGACAAAGCCTATATTATTTAGCAATATATCAAGCTTTCGAAGACACATTTCAATTCATTATTCCCTGCTGTTAAAGGTTTATTTTTCATATTAGTTGTTTACCTTTATTTAGTATCGTCCTTAATAATCATTTGGTTTATTATTAACAAAAATAATTGCACAATAAAATTTTGTACAAGTCATTTAACGTTTGATTTGTCATATGTATAAGAAAAAATCATATACCTTAATGTGGAGCTTGATAATCTTTATATAACTAGTATGTGAACAAAAATTGACGATACTTTTAAATTGTAATTATCAAATTATTTAGATTTTTTTCAAGTTGTCTTTCAATTGTATTGCTAATTCATGTTTTTAAATGTTTCAGATGCTAAAGTTTGTGAACCTAGTGTCATTTCATCGATTTGACAAAACATATGAAAATATGAAAATGAAGATGTGTAAGGCTATACGTCTATCTGAATTATACGAACCCTACATGTTTTTTTATGAAAGGTATGCATACGTTGTAACTTTTATTTTGTTCAATATTTAGCATTACATTCTATAACTAATAATCCAAGAATATTAATGCTAAACAATTATTTTTTTCAGCTTCGATGATGTTAATACTGAAAAATTAAGAATGACAGTGAAGGAAATCAACTTGGATGAAGTGCTTAATTTTGATCCACGATGCATTAATTGGGAGGATTACTTTATGAATACTCACATTCCTGGATCTGTGAGATATCTGTTTTAGGGATTATATATAAGCTTTTTCTATATGTATGCTTAATTATAAGATTTACTTTAGCGCTTTGATAATTAAGAAGGTTGTTTAATTTATGTGTACTCGTCATATATTTTCAATCAGGGGCGGAATTAGCATATATAATGCGTGTTTTTGGAAATCTAATAATTTTTGTGCGAATCTTGTATTTGTTTTTTTTTTATATTAATAATGTTAAGAATAGATAGTATTGAAGCTTATAATTAATGTCAACAAAAGGAATTGGAGTAGTACTTGTAATTTAATCAAATGTACATAAGAATGATTTTTTCATTCTTCTTTATATGTTTTGATTTGATTTTTTTCATTCGCCGGAAAAATTTGAGAGACTCTGTCTCTGATCTGATTTTTTTCCCAATGAATTCTCATATTTCCTTTTAGAACTAATAATTTTAATTTTAAATAAAATGTGTTTTGGTGGAAGAGAGGGGGGGAGAGAGAAAGAGAGTGACGATCAGGTGGATTTCCATCTTTTCCGTCGAGGTGGCGATGATAATTTTGAGATCTTGAAAAAAAAAAAAAAAAAAAAATTTTGTAGATGAATGTATGATTCTTTTTTATTTTTTTCAATGTATGGTTCTTTTTGTTTTATTCAAAATCAGTAGCATTATTATGTTTTTGTAAGATTTTCTCAAATTAATGTGGTGGTGGTTTGATGAATGGTGGTTGAAATTGAAAGAGAAGGAGGGAAGAAAAAAGAAGGGAAAAAAATGTTTTCCACGCTCTCAAAATTTTATTAACTTTTTTCAACTTTGAATAATTTACTTATTTTGAAGTATGAACTATAGAGGCCGTTACTGTTTTTTCTTAAGAAATATGTAAAGGAGGAATACGTCAAATAATTTGAGACAAAAGGGAGTACTAATTCACTGTTGTCATGTTCAATATAAAAGCAAGTCTTTTTGTTGTTATGGCTGTATACATAATTTCTGAAGCCAAAAACAAGTGTATAAGAAAATGAGTTCTCTTATTGCTACTTGTTGTAAAAAGCATGACCAAATTGCTATAGTTATGGTTCCATTCCAAGTTCAAGGACACCTCAATCAATTCCTCCATCTCTCTCGTCTTATTTCATCATACAATATACCAATTCATTATCTTGGTTTTACTACACAAATTACTCAGGCTAAGGCTCGAATCCATGGTTGGGATTTAGCCACTGCTGCTAATTACATTCATTTCCAGGAATTCCCAACCCCATCTTCTTTTATGTCCTCTTCCGAAAAAAATATGTCAAAACTCATAGTATCAATACTCGATGCATCTTTAACGTTGCGCGAGCCTGTGACTGCATTTATCAAGAATCTTTCGAGCACAACTCGTAGAGTTGTGGTCATTTATGATTCCATGATGGCTTACACTGTTCAAGACACTGTAAAAATTGTGGATGCCTATTGTTTCCATGCTATCTCTGCTTTTAGCAATAGTTCTCTATTTTGGGATGTCATCAAAAACCGCCTCCATCTCCCTTAATTCGTTTCAAAATTGGCTAAGAAATTTCTACTCCCATCTGGTGCTTACATTCCTGAAGGACTTCCAACTTTGAAAAGTAGTTTCACACCTGAATTCGCAGAATATCTGCGGTTACAATACAGTTGTAACAAATTCAGCTCCGGGAACTTATATGATACTTGCAAAGTTCTCGAGGGTCCTTATCTCGAGACACTTGCAAGATTCAATAAGTTACTCAGAATTCACAAGCAATGGGCTGTTGGCCCATTCAATCCAGTGACTATATCAGGGATAACTCATCACGAATGTTTAGAGTGGCTAGACAAACAATCTCCAAATTCAGTGATTCTTGTTTCTTTTGGAACAACAACCTCCTTATCTACTGAACAAATTAAAGAGATCGCGATCGGATTGGAGAAAAGTCAGCACAAGTTCATTTGGGTAGTGAGAGATGCTACAAAAGGAGAAGGGGAAGTCCAAATCCCAATAGGGTATGAAAACAGAGTAAAAGAAAAGGGAATTATCGTTAAAGATTGGGCGCCCCAATTGGAAATATTGGCACATACATCGACTGGTGGGTTCATGAGTCACTGTGGGTGGAATTCGTGCATGGAGAGCATTACTATGGGAGTGCCAATAGCAACATGGCCTATGCAATTTGATCAGCCAAGAAATGCGGTTTTTGTGACAGATGTTCTTAAAATTGGAGTTGTTGTGAAGCATTGGGATCGTCGTGATGACATAATTGATTCAACCACAATTAAAAACTGTGTTAAAAAATTAATGGCTTCTACAGAAGGAGATGAGATGAGAATGCGTGCCATTGAATTTGGTAAAAAAGTGAGAGAATCAATGAACAATGGTGGAAATCATCAAATGGAGATGGATTCTTTCATTGTTCATATTACTAGATAGATTACAAGCTGCTTCTGTTTCATCATCACACGTCTTTCTTTTCCTAATTAATAAAAGTCGGAAAGTCACCCTACTAAGAGTTGTTTTCAGAGAACCTTGCTCAACTTTGTTTTTATAATTATTGATATTTCACGTAAAAAGTATGTAATGACCTGGAAAGTCATTTAAATTTTTTTATAAAATTATCATTTTACCCATCTCGATAGTTGCCCTGAGTCACTTTTGATCAGTTTGTGAAGTTGGTTGGAAATTTTGAACTATTTGTTTAACTACGGTTACTTAGTTGATGGATATTTATTAAATAATTAATTTATTTAGTTGGGGTTAATGGGTCAGGTCCATAATTTACTTGGTACCCTTTATCACTTGACCCGTGTATATAAATAAAATTAGTGAGATTTAATCTTTCTAATTATTTTAGAAAATAAAAATAAAGAGAATAGGGAGAAACCCTAAGCGGCATCAATGAGCAGCGAGTGCTCTTCCTTCACGTAAGTATTTTGGCTGAGCTTTTATATATGATTGTTGTTTTTATACATAATTTCTAGTGAAAGAGTTTACACTAAATTGTCCCATTAGTTAACTAATATTTCCCACTAATAATCACATGCATGTGGCGTCAGTGCGACAGTCTTCTTAATGGTGGAAGGAAAAAGAGTGAACACTTAATTGTGTATGCTATTAGAATTGGGTCTTAAGGGGACAAAATGTGAGTGGCAAGTTATTACATATTGATACCAATTGATGAACGAATATAGGTTAGACATTTTTTATTGGCTTATGTCGTATTTTAATGATTATTATAACTGCAATGTTAGTTGTGAAAGAAAGTAAGAAAAATGAATAGGAAAAGTTGAAACAAAGTCAGTGGCGTATGTATTGAAGTTGGGTAGGAATATGGTTGATTTCTAATGCCTAATCATTGGCCAATGAGACCTAATCATTGGACAATGGCCTAATCATTGGATGTGACTAATAGTTTAGTGAATTAATGCTTATAGTTGAACATTAGAAATATGTTAATCTGCAAATTGTTTTGAGGCACATCACTAATAGTTGACATTAGTTAATGTGTAGTTATCACATTATGATTTAAGTTTTGATATATTAAGATGTGAAATTGAATATTGGGTATATTATATTATATGAAAACTCTCAAGGTTGTAGTGTTTGGAGAAATTATGACTTAACCTTAGACTTGAAATTTAGGAAATATGAGATTTGACCTATTGGTTGGAATCAATACTTAGGAACTTGATTATAAATTGAGTGAGTTTTTGGGTCTAGGCTAAACCTATAGTAAAATGGGTGTTGCTAGTTTCAAAATCTTATTGTGAATATGTACTTGATTAGATTTGCATTGATTTGGAAGCTCAGCGAAAGGGAAAGGCTGAAGTCCCAGAGTGATTGTTCGATTATTTGAGGCAAGTTGATTTCTAAACCCTTGTTAAGTGTATGGAATTCGTGTATTTCCTTGTGATATGTGTTTGGGGGTAATGAGATTTGGTGATGGGTTGACTTGTACATATTGATTATTTTCTAATGATGAAAAAGGGGTAATAAAAGGCAATGTGTTTAATTGTTGATGTGTGAAGTTCTCTATGTACTTGATTGTGTGATTGTGTTACATGGTTATTGAGGATTTTGAGGGGATCGAAACTACTATTTTTATAAGACAACATAGACTTACTAGGCATTTATCAGCAATTTCTATGAAGATTGGGTTTTACTATTTTTATAATTAGTTAGGTATACAATTAGCTAGGGTGATAAAAGTTAAATTAGATTAAAGGGAGGTTATTATTATTTCTATTCCAAAACAAATTATGTGCAGCACAAATCCTTAAAGGAGAGAACGACAAGACTATCGCAGGTAAACAAATTTCTATTGAAATCTATTCCTTGTCAATGTTGATGGTTGCATGAATATAGTATTATTATTATTTAGTTGAAAGGAGATTTGAAATTGGAAAATTGGTTTATGTGCAACATCGGTTTATTGAATTGGGTGTATTAAATTGTTAAGTAGTGGTCTTTCGTAATGATTGTAAACTAATTAAAGTTCATATTGGCAGGATAATGTTAAGGGGTATGAATGGATGGTTGTTTGGTTTTTTTTTAAATTCAAGTAACTGTATGTAACTTGATGACAATTTTGGGGTTTCGTATTTTATTGTTATAGTTGCTTTAAGAAATCAAGTGTTGATACTACTTTTTTTTATATATAACTAAATATATGAAACTAAGTCAGTTGATGTTTTAGTTCTAGGCTATACAATAGCATATTATTATATATTGAGTTGGACAGAAATGGTGTTTGGATTATTATTATTATTATCAATTTTTGTCTTACATTGGCCATATGTGTGGCATCAATTTTCGATTGGGATAAAACAGTGGGCAAAAATCATGAAATAATTATAAACTGGTAATTATGGACAAATAAGGTTCTGGATATTTCTTTGTATGCAGGTTAAGTATGGGTCACGTGTGATTTAGGTAGATTTTGGTTTATTTTCTTTAGTTGTCATATTATGATTCAAGTTTGATATATTGAGATATTTGATTAAACACCGAGTGTATTATATTATATGAAAGCTATTATGGTTATAGTGTTTGGGGAAATTATGACTTAACCCTAGGCTTGAATTTGAGAAATATGAGAGTTGATATGTTAATTGACATCGAGCTTAAGAACTTGATTATAAACTT